GACATGCCTTCCCTAATTCACAACCCTGACCCCCAGAGGGATGGCGACCCTTCCTGAGGGCTTCCATACCACCTTGGGCACAGGTTCCCTGTGGTTAAGTGTAACTAACTATTGACCTGAACATCCTGTCTCCTTTTTGCTCCAAAAGTGAAGCCCTAGAGAGTCGGGGATGATGGCCTTTGTCTCTGTATCACAGACACCTAGGAGAGTGGCTGACCAACGCATCCAACACAAACAAGTGTTTCTCAACCAGTAAACAAATGTGCATCCCATCCTTGGCCAGGGAAAGCTGTAGGAAACAACAGTGCTGCTCGAGCGAGCGTACTGTACCATGGTGAGCGTGATAGGGGAGATCTGATAACTAACCATTATTTTGATCCGATGTCCCACAAAAGAAGGGCACCTCAAAGGGTATTCCACTTAATTGGGTTGGATGGGATGAAGCTAAAAAGCTTCTCTTAACTGTATGCTTTTTGTTTTAATTATGTACCAATGACTGACACTGGGTAGCACATCATGCTTGGAAATTGTGCCTCTGCACAATTGCACTGCTTGGGAGAGTCCTGCATGTTAACCTTTCTATTCCTCCACCTTTTTCAAGTAGCCTGTGATTCTCTGGCCGACACCGTGTTCAATACTGTGTGGACCCTGGGCTGCCGGCCCTTTATGAACAGTCAGCGGGCAGCTTGCATCTGTGCAGAAGAGGAGAAAGAAGAATTATGACGATGAGGTGGTTTCACAGCTGTCGGTCCCAGAGACGGATCACGGCAGATGCGTGTCATCCTGTCTTCCACCGGTGTGGGTGTCACACAGCAGGAGCAGGGAGACAGTGAGTCCTGCTCTTTGGGGAAAGTTGGGAGAGATGCGGAGATTGAAGCCAGCATCGCTCTAGCACAGCTCTTCCCGACTAAGACACATTCACCTGGAAACTCAATTCTTAGCATCAAGACGACGCTACAAGCAAACCCTGCGATTCCTGGAACTGATTGTTATATTTGTAAGCGAAATTTTCAGGAGTCTAACCCTTTGAAAGGCAATGACTTTCCTTTGGCCTGGTTTCCTCAGTCGCCAGTAAGCACCTCACATTTAATAAAGCGTACTTTTTAGAAAACGTGAACAGAGATGAATGAATTCCATTATCACCTGTGTTTCCATTTCCCTTAGAAGAGAACAGAACCCAACCCGGTAAGCCCTGCTACGGAGGACCACCTGGAAGGCTCTCCTGAAAAGAAGAGCATTTGGCCCTGCCTCCTTGTATTAGTATGAACAGAGCTGGCTAGGACATTTCCTTATCCCCTCAAGTGGCTTTAAGCAATGCAAACGGGTCCAGCCGAGGTGCTGATGTGTAGCCTCTGAAGCAATGCAACAGGTCCGTGGTGCCCCGCGGACAGCTCCAAGTGACATGTGTGAGCTAGACCGGGTGACGCCACGCAGTCGGATGAGAATGAGCCTCAAAAAAAGAGGCTATGAGCTCTCAGGGCGTGGATGACACATCAAAGTGAAGCACCGACCCCAAAACACTAGATACTGTGCCAGTGTGTGATACGCAGGTCACTGTTTCTGCACGCCTCTGCCTGTTGCAGAGGTGATTTCAGGCCTCCTCCCCAGCCCAGCTCACAGCACTCTCGTACTTCCTGCCACTCTTGCAGTCGTTCATTCCTGAGCCGCTCCCTTCTTCACAATTTAATGAAACCTGGGTTCAGCCCTGGGCTGAAGCCTTTGTTCCGGCTAGCCATCATTCTAGCTGGACTGAGGACCCCCTTGGGTGCCCACAACTGCAAATATGCCTTCGTGTCTCTATGCTCACCATGGGTTGCACTGGAAGCGGTAGATTGGAATTGACTTATTGGAATTCCAATCCTTTCCTCTGGCATTACACTTCCTGGACCATGATGAAGTCCGGAAGGGCTTTCTCTATTCCACCAATGACAGTGATTCCTACTAGTGTGGAAGAGAGGGAAGCAGGTAGGCAGGGTAGAGAACTACCTGCCAAAGGCCAGGGGAGAGGTGGGGCAGGTGGAATCGGGAATCATGCCCCCCCCCCCCACCGCCATCCCCCACCTTGGTGTTCCAGGTCTCATATGGCGTTTTAGCCATGCTAAGGTCTGAGGTGCGCTCAGCAAAGGCTAGGGAAACACGTGCAACCTTAGGGGAGCGAGAGACACATAGGCGTTCCCTAAATTGTGGTTCTCATCATGAAGATGGGTTAAGATCACCGTATAAAAGAAGCATGGAAGGACACTCGGGCTGGTGCCTCTGCGCTGGTGTTTCACGAGTGTTTCCTCAGGCGATTCTGATGCCTGGGGGGCACTAATCTACATCTACATTAGGGATTGGCCAACTGTCGTGGGCCAAATCCAGTCCAAGGCTTGTTTCTGCACAGCTTCTGATACTAAAGCCATGCTCACATTTGTTTAGAGTTGTGCTAAATTTGTCTACAGCTGTTTTTGTGCTGTAACAACAGGGTTGAACAATTGTAACAAAAACTGCATGGTCCAGAGAGCCTAAAACATTTTTAGTGTGTGTTCCTATAGAAAAAAGGTTGCTGAGCTCTGATTTAAATCATTAACTCCTTTTCCTTCCTTTTGTTAATTCCACCAGTTCAAATAGGAATTATTCATTATGGACACTTTTAAAGAAAAAGAAACTTTTTCTAATCTTATGTAAAGGTGTATTATTAACTGGCATATCAAGACATTGAATTTAGCTAGGTATGATGGCCCATACCTGTAATCCCAGCTCCCGGGAGGCTGAAGCAACAGGATTGCAAATTCAAGGCCAGTTTGTACAAATTAGTGAGACTGTCTCAAAATAAAATTTTTTTTTTTTTTTTTTGGTTTTTTTCTCCGGTACCAGGAACCGAACTCACGACCTTGCACTTGCCAGGCAGGCGCTTTGCCGCTGAGCTAAATCCCTAGCCCCTTCAAAATAAAATTTTAACAAGGGCTGGAGATGTAGCTAAGTGGTAGAGAGCCTTGGGTTCGATCCTTAGGACTACACACACACACATGCACGCACGCACGCACGCACACATATGCACACACAGAGATTGATTTAACTGTACATAACATTTATCTTTGTGGTTTATAAAATTTATTTCAATAAAATTTATTAAGCACCAAGTATGATATAACTTATACCTTTGTCTATTGTCTTACTAATTTGAATTCCAACTCAAGAAGGCATATGGTACCCAACTTTAATTTTGCTAATAGTTTAGTCATTAAACCACTTACATGCATGTTGATTAGTTTATTAATATTTATTAAGTGAAAACATTTCACCTAAGACAATAAAAACATAAAAAAATTATGCAAGAGAAAAATCAAAAGGCATTTCCTTATTATACATTGTTTTATTGATAAACTTCCAAATCCCCTATAACTATTCTGTGTTTGAATTGAAATTTTAAGGTATGATTATTATTTACATATCTAGGGATCACTGAGTTTCTAGGTCAGAGTTTTAGTAAGTATTTAGTTTCTGGTTTCTAACTTTAAATATTATAACCAGCTTCTGAGTTGAGGGCCCTGTTGCCTCATACATGGGGTGTCTAACTGTAGGAAAGCCCTGCAGGAGGTGGGGCCAGCGTCCTGCTGTGTGGACAGCTCAGTTTCCCCCATTAGGAAGCTGAAGGCCTGCTGGGGCCACATGCTCAGCACAGCTGTGACCTGTACCCACCTGTGGACCAGACGCAGTGAGGGGTTCCGGGAGTTGGTCTAAACTCACAGTCCATGGTCTAAAGAAGCCAGGTGTCCTAGGAGGTCCTCTGACATCCTTAGGGGCTGTGGCAGAAGTTCCAGAGAGGACAGCTGCCGGAGGGACCGACAGGTGGGCAGGGAACTAGGGTTCCCAGTCGATGCTGATCGGGCCGCCCGTCAGTATCTGGCTCCGCAGACCCGCGGTGTCCTCTCCTTCCCGGGCTGCACGTCGCACTCGCCGGTGACAGCCCTGGGCGCAGCGGGAACGCGCGTCCAGCATTCCACAGACCAGCACGCGGCAGTGCAGAAAGACCTCCTGAAAAGATGCAAGGACCCGCGGCAAGGACGCCGCTGTGGGCGCCAGGGGAAGCCAGGCACCCTGCCACCCGGTTCACAGACTTTCTCTCCCTTAAGCTTAACAGCAGCACTCTGGGGCAGGTGTTACCATCCCCATGTTACAGAGGAGTAAACTGAGGCACAGGGTGAAGAAGGAACCAGCCCAGTTCACACATCAGTAATGTGGCGAGCTGGAACTGGAGTCACCCACATCCATAGCTTCTGCACTGGGTGGGGACAGAGGAGACCTTTGTGAAACAGCGTCTAACATGAGCATCTCTGTTCTTCACGTCAAGGGCCGTGAGGAACCGCTTGCCGCCCGCGGCCTGGCGGAGGAAGGCGTGCGGAGTGGCGACACCGCGGGCAAGGCGTGGGCACGCTAAAGGCAGCGGGAGAAGCGTGTTGGCCTCTGGAACCTCCTTCTGTTTACACGTTTCAGCAACGCTAACAACAGCAAACACTGCACCTGTCACGCTATAACCTTGTCCATGTAAATATATGGGTTTTTAAATGGAGAGTACCCAGGGGCTGGGGATTTAGCTCAGCCGCACAGCGCCTGCCTGGCAAGCGCAAGGTCGTGAGTTCAATTCCCGGTACCGGGAATAAATAAATAAATAAATAAATGTAGTGTACCCGATATGCATATGAACTGTTTGGACAACATTTTTACAGTCTGCCTTCCACACATTTATCACTTTAATAGCTGCTTGTCATTGCATTAAATTTATATGTGATGGCCCTTTAGCTCTGTTTGATTGGAGGTTTTTTCTCCCTTAAAACAACGTTCTGTGAACATGTTCGACAAACTTTTTGTTTTTGAGAAACCGCCAAGATTAAAATTTTTAGGTAAGAAAAGATGATGATTTAATGGTTATTACTGCATATTATCAATAACTTTCCAGAAAATGTACCAATTTATACCCACCACTGTATACGTATAACCTTGCAAGTGTTATTTAGAATTTTTATAAATTTAGCATGTATAAAGTGGCATCCTTAATTGGCACTTTTGTACTACTTTCACTTCCCATCTCACTCTTTGTCTTTTCTTGCTCTCCTGTGCACGTCTTTGACCGTGTGACTGACCACACACTGGCTTTTTTGTCCATACCCGACCACAGGTCACAGGGAGCCTAACTGTGGGCTCTCACAAGGTCAGCTGACCAAGGGACGGGGGCTGAGAAGGAAGGCTTAGGTCTGGGGTTAGGAAAGGTGTTCAGCTCACCTTGTGATCTTTGCCCACAAACTTGAAGACAGGGACTTGGAAGTGCTTTGCTAGGTGATCCCGGGATGAGTACTGCTTCACTGAGTCATCTGAAACGCAGCTGAAAGTAGGACACGTTGCACGTAAGACTTGATCATTTCAACAGAGATGGAAAAACAACCCCTTCCAACATGTTTGGCTTAAGGAGAGGCAGACTGGGTGGAGCAGGTTGGGGTGCCCGCCAGCTCTTTGGGAGAAAGCAAATGAAATTCCCCCCTGGTGACGGCACTGTGGGACCCAGCCCTCCTCACCAGTGAGCCTATCTCGTCTTCCATTTGCTGAGCCACCAACCAGCACAGCACTTCCTGCTAGGTCATGTGTTTCAGTGGAGCACTGTTAACAACACATTTCAAAGAAAGTTTTGGGGCCGGGGATATAACTCAGAGGCATAAGCACCTGCCTGGCAAGCGCAAGGTCCTGTGTTCAATTCCTGGTGCCACAGGAAAAAACAACAACAACTGTATAGTTTATTACTGGTTTGAGGCGGCGTCTCTTAAACTTAACAAGTACATTCTAGACACCTAAGAGGCACCAACCACCTCAGCAGGTGCAAAGGGGAACAGAACACACTGGGGCATCAAGTTGCTGGGTGCGCATCTTTGTTCCTTAGGGAACAAGTGGCTCTCCTGGGGAGCAGTCTCACCTGAAATCGTATTACTTCCTCTTTTCCCAAATGGTGCACCTGCCACTTGATAGGGCTTGGGCTTTTAATCTCAGGTCTACTGCTTGCAGTGTAACTTCTAGGGTCCCCTCAAGGATAGCTGGGGAAAGACGTTACTCAAGCTTCGTGCTGAAGCCAAGGTTTTGGATATAGAGGAAGATTTTTCCCCAGAGAGGCCCAGGATTGCTCTTGTGTTAGTGGTCCCATTCAAATCCTAAAGAAACCTTTTCCCCCTGGAAATAGTTGCTTTTTAATGGGCACCTAACAGTTTGTCTACTGGGCCAGGAAAAGAGTGGGTCAGATCTAAAAGCCTCTGAAGTGGGTTCTTGCTCCACATGCTTACGTACAGCTTTAGTTTACCGCTGCTCTTTGGGTGCTGCTGAAACATCAAAAAAATTGTTTTAAAAGATGGCGCCTCAACCTGTATTACTGTTAGCATCTTATTCCACTGAACTGGAGAGCCCCTGAGCAGGCTATAGGGCTTCTGCTATGTCCTGAACTTGTTTACTCAATTTGATTGTCCTGAGGTAAAATCAGTTTATAGCTTTTCATTGTGTTTTACAATAAAGATCAATTGCACACCTAATCTGTACAAGAGCCTCTACTAGGTGCCTCAGAAGGGAAAATGAGGAGTAATATTCCAATTGTGGGTGCAGTTCAGTGGTAGAGCTCTTGCCTATGTGTACAAGGCCATGGGTTCAATCCCCAGCATCACACACACGCACACACACACATACTCACATGGTCTACAGTACACACAGAATAATATAGCTTATGATGGTCTAGTATCTATCATAACAATACTAACAATATTTAAAAGGTACTTTTCACCTAAATGTCTCAGCATTTTCAATTTATTTTATCTAAAAAGACTTATTTTTCTTTAGAAGAAAAAATGAGGCAGGCAAGGTTCTTACAAGGTAGTGCATTACAAATTTTGTTCTCGACTTGGTGTTTGCTGTCATTAGAAAATGTTAGTTCTCAGAGCTCCAAGTTCGTGTTAAAAGAAAACAGCAGGGGTATAGGACAGTCCACAGTAATTATTTATCGAAACATTGCCAGTACTTGACTTTAGAGCCCAGTGTTTCTTTTTCTAAAGATTCACTTTCTCATTACATTTTACTTAGGCCTGCATTAAGCTATTTTGCATTCTCAGAGTGTGTACCACCTAAAACCAGAGGGAAGTAAGTCAGGTATGCTCAACATGTGGGGGAAACCAGCTTAAAATAAATTTAAGCTAAAGACCGTGAATACTTTTTAAAATGAACGATCAAAAATGTTTGGTTTTGTGGCTGAGCCCCAGATTACTATTCTGAATACTCCTTCAAGGATTTGCTGGGGGAATATTAATGACCCCTACGCTCTGCTGGGCCTTGAGGAGGACGGGGGCCTTTAGTTCACGTCCAACAGAACTGGGACTTCACCGCGGAAGTAAATGCCCCTGAATTCCAAAGGGCCAGGCAGAATCAGACAGGAACAAAGATTTCAGGCAGAGGAAATAGCACAGGCCGCGTCAAGAGGCCGCGGGAGCAGGGTTGGACAGCCAGCAATTCCCTCTGGCAGGGGCGCAACCGGGGAGGCTGAGAGCCCAGGTCCGGCAGCTCTCTGCTGCACGTCCTCTGTGCTCGCGCTGCCGCCATGTTCCGGCTCTCGTCTACGCTGCTTTCTCTCACAACACATGCATATTTCTCTTCTGCATGTGCCAAGGGCAAGAAGAATAAATAGTGCAGCTTCACAGAACTGAATAAAACAGAGCGAACAGTCCTTCGCTGAGAGTCTAAGTGACCAATACATAAGAGAATGTCACAGGCATTTTTGAGATTTCAGGTCACTCCTTCCCAGTAAATGCGTTACGATTACATACTTCTTAAAAGTAAACGTGAGCTGGGCATGGGGCCACACACCTGTAATCCTAGCTACTCAGGAGGCTGAGGCAGAAGGATTGTCAATTCGAGGCCAGCCTTGCATTGAAAAGGAGAAGAAAAGTGAAAAAAACGAGAAGGGCTGGGGATGTAGCTCAGCGGGAGAGTGATTGCTGAGCATGAGCAAGGCCCAAGGTGTGATCCCAATGCTGAGAGAAAGCAAAGGTGAATGCGAGGGACAGGAGAAAACATCTGAGGAGAAATAATGTTCATTATCTCACCGACGCCTTACCTATGTTCACTTCTAGTCACGAAGAGTATGCCATTAAAACAGAAAAAAAAAATCTAAAAAGAAACAAAACCCCATACCCCTCAAAAGAAATCTATTATCTAATCATTAAGTCTATAACTACAAAGAAATAAAATGATGCTTCTATTATTTATTTTTAAACTTTCTGCCCAGGCATGGTGGTGCACACCTGTATCCCAGCAACTGGGAGGCGGAGGCAGGAGGATTGCTGTGAATTCAAAGGCAGCCTGAACTACATAGTGAGTTGAAGGCCAGCCTGAACTACACAGTGAGACACTGTCTCAAAAAAACCAAAACAGCACTGGGGATATAGCTCAGTGGCATAAGTGCCTGCCTGGCAAGCATGAGGTCCTGAGTTCAATTCCTGGTACCAAAAAAACAAAACAAAACAGAAAAGCTTTCTGGGGATTACTGTTTATGAAGCTGCAGTCCTGCCTCTACCTGAGACTTGACCATCTGGCATTCAGAACAACAAGACAAGCATGAGAGTGTTTCGGGGTTTGTGTGCATTTTCCTGGGAATGGCGGCAAGCGCTGTTAGGCTTTCAGTGGTCCCTGAACACACCTGCAAATCGCATCTGCAGCTCCTCAGAGGAGGTCATGGAAGCTTCCATGCTTTTCTTCTCCTAAAGCTGTCAAGTATTTCTTCTCTCTCCTGTGCTACCAAACGTCTTAAAAGAGGGGTCCACACTTGCCGCTTCACTTCCTCCTCCGCACACATTCTCAGCCACGGGAATGCGGGGAGCCGCACCTGGCAGGCACGCGCACCCTGCCCTCCCTGAGCAGGCCGGCCCAGGCTGTAGTTCCAGCCGTACACGGACTCATGCTCTGCCCTTTACTCCTTGCCCCATTCCTGAGCCTGACCTCCATTTCCAACTGCCCACTAACCTGCTCTTGCTGGGTATCCCTCAGGTATCTAAAATGTATTGTCATGTTGGTGCAGGCCTGTAATCCCAGCACTCTGGGAGGCTGAGGCAGGAGGACTGCAAGTTCAAACCTGGGCAAATTTAGCCAATTAGGAAGACTGTCTCAAAAACGGAGGAGCTCAGTGAGAAGGTCCTGAGTTCAATCCCCAGTGGCACCAAAAAACTGATTTTGTGTGCGTGATCAAATTCAATACTTTCACCTCAACTCTGCTTTTCTACATATAATGTCTTTCCTCTGGGGTAATGGCATCTCGTTAGTCCCCTCAGCTGCACACCTGGGAGTCATTTTTGACTCCCCTCCTCCTCCTCAGTCTTTAAACTCCGCCTTCAGGGCTCCTGAGCTGAGGAGCAGCCGTGCGGGGCTGGGAAAGGACCGCGCATGCCCGGACTGGGCGGCATAGTTACCCATCCCGGATGAGGTAGTACTTGAGGATCTCGTCGACCTTGGCGGTGGGGGTGGCGAAGCAGCTCTCCACCAGGCTTTCCAGGCCGCTCACGTGCACCAGGGGCTCGATGCCGAAGTAGAGGGAGTCGCGGAGCTTGAGGCTGGGCAGAGCTTCCCGGTAGGGCTCCTCGAACTCGTCGTCCTTGAAGATCTCCAGCGTGAAGGGGAAGACGCCGTGGCTGCGGCTCAGGATCTCCAGCGGGGCGTTGCGCAGGTTGGGGACGTAGCCCTCCGAGATGGTGTACAGGCGCGGGAACTCGCAGGTCACCGGGATCAGCAGCTCGCTGGTCCGGATGATGATGTCCCCGCTGCTCCCCGGGGTCTGCTTGGGAAGACCTGTCACGAGGTTGCTGGCCACGATCTTGTCATTCACCACCTGGGCCGGGCCGGGAGAGGAAGAGAGTGTGTTTCTACGGAAATTCCCCGTCCCCCCAAATCTGTTTCACAGCGAAAGCTTTTTTTTTCTTTCAATCGCTCCCCTCTGTTAGCAGGCCGCCCCGGCTGCTGGAGTTTGATGTTCTACTTCTCGGCCAGCGCGCACATTCCTTTGGAGCGCTGCTCCTAAAACCTCATCTACGCAGAATCAGCAAGTTTCAAGCTCCGGTGTTTTAGAGGAGGACAGCGTCCAACGTCGTTTTTTTGCAGGAGTCCTAGACCTGTTAACCCCGCTGCGCTATCTCCCTAGCTGTGCTCACCGCGCCCGGGGCTGAGCGCTCACGTGACCGCAGGACGTTTTCACGACTCTGCCTCCAGCCCTGTCTGCTCTGCTGTGCGCGGGTCGGCCCGCAACAATCCGCAGAACGCGCCCAGTGTGTCTCCCAGCTGGAAGGCTTTTTCTTTTCCTCTCTCCTGGTGTAAGCCACACACCTATTTCCACACCAGTCCAAGTCCTACTTGTCTCCTACTGGACTCCAAGAGGCCCCGTCATCTGTGTCACCCTTTATCGGTTTCCCTTTATGTGTAAGGACAGCCCTGTAAGCTGCCAGCAGGCAGGAGTCTCCGTCCATCGTCCCCTCAGACTGCAGCACAGGGCTGTGCGCAGATTTTTGGATGAAAGGAGAAACCTTTGACCTCAACCTGGTTGAGTACTGGAACTTATTCGCTACACCCCAAATGTACCATCATCTCAGTCACTTTCTTCAAATAGAAGAGCTGGTCAGAGGGGAAGTGGCCAGTGCGCCCGCGGCCCTGGTGCTGGTTCAGGAGGGGAAAGGCCTGAACAGCTGGGGGAGAGGTGCCTGGCTGGGAACAGGTAGCAGAATTCTCCCTGGCAGTGCAGCACCATGGCAGGTACTCAGGGACACAGCTGTTAAATGAGTGACAGCGGATGTTGTAAGCTCGGTTCTTTCGTGTTAAAATATCCCATCTATGACACAAACCACACTGCAGACCTCTGCCAAGATCTCCCAAGTGACTGGGTTTTGGTCATTCCCCCAGGATCCCTGGGAGAAACCTACGTTGACCACAGTGCCGCACGTCTTGAGGGAGAAGATGATGTTGACATGGGTGCCATTGGACACGCCTCGGCAGGATGTGTTGGTCAGGAAGAGCTCCAAGCCACCAACCAGCTCCCTGGGGACGCTCACTTCAATGGCGTTCGACTTGCACACCACAGGGACTGCAGGAGAGGGGCTACTGTTAGAACTGAAAACTGGGTGGGGAGGAAGAGTCAGGAAGGCTTCTTCGGGAAACAATGTCTCCTTCACACAGACTGTGCTTTTTGTTCTACCCCTCAGGAAATCAGTGGTACTCAAAGCAAACTGGTGAGTAAAACCAGGATTCCCAGCTCCCATGACTGGTCAAAGAATGCCCTTCAAATACATTGTTCCTTGAAGTAGGAAATATTGTGTTCAAGTTTCAGTCCAACACACATTTGTTTACAAGGGTGGCAGGCATAGCTTCAAGAAGTGAGCACCTAGAGGATTAATTTTTAGCACCAGTGCAATTTATAGGCAATACAAAAAAAGCGTGCTTTGATATTGGTTTAAACAACGTAATGGTGCTGCCTTGATTTTACTGTTAATTATGGCCCCATAAAGCGGAGGTAATAAACAGTGTTACTGCACTTGGGGGAGGCTTCCAAATTGTCCTTGCGCTGCTCAGTAAACCATAAACTCAGACTATAAAATTCACTTTAACTTAATATAGAAAAGGTGGCCTTTCCTTAGTATCCCCATGTTCATGTCCCCAGACTCTGCAAATACCCCCAGAGGAGCGCTTCTGGGTGCAGTATGTGAGGCCACGTCACCACGATGGAATACGTACAAAATAAGAAATAAGTGCTCCTGAAATATTTGCTGGGTGAGTGCACTGACAGTCTGGATACCAAGAACTAGATTTCCAGAAAATGGTTCTCAGAGCGTGGCTGAGGGGGAAGACTCCGTTCCCTAGGACTTCAACTCAGTTTCCATTCTTTTATCTGCTAGAAAAGAGAACCACATCAGCCTTCTACTTCCAAATGGAGGATGCGTCATACTGTGAGCCACGAGAATCCAAGAAAAATCAAAGGTAAACGGGAAATCTGTTCTTAGCAAGCTCGGAACGATTCCCAGGTGATGACTCGGGGCCACACACGGCTCAAAGGGTTGTTCTGGAAGATGAGGATCTGGCACGCCTGGCGGGTGGAGGTGAGAGGGTGCAGGGCCGGAGGAAGCGTAAAGCAGAGCAGAGGTGGAGCCCATGCGCGTTCTACCTTGGCAAGTGTGGTTGTCGTCAGCTAGCACCAGGCCCCGGGGACACTCGCACTGGTAGCCCTTCTCTGACCCAAGGCAAGAGTGGCTGCAGCCACCGTTGTTATTGTGGCATCCTTCAATGTCTGCAGGAAAAGCAACAGAAGGGAGGATCGTCTCATGCCCTCTCTCCCTCCGGATCCCGGCACTTACGTCAGGGTTTGTACCTGACTCGTAGCAGTCTCCCTGCAGTCTAACCCAGTAATCAAGACGTGTACCCAAGTCCACAAGTGTCTGCTGAATCTTATAGCTACAAACAGTAATCTCCCAGGATCCACAGTTCTATCCACTTAAGCTGGCCAGGCATTTTGTAGGACGTCCTTCAGTTTGGCTTTGCCTAATGTTTTGTTCTCATGGTTGGACTGAGCTAATGGGTTTTTTCAGGTGTAAGACCCAAAAGTCATGTATTAATTGCTGCAACACTTAATGCCCCCTCCTAGAAATTATTATTGATGAAAAGGGATTGAGAGAGCATAAGTTCAGCTGGGTGCATCAGAGTTGCAGCTAATTGGCTGGGTCATAGACCTCTGCTCAATCGCTGGGATCAAGAGGTCTGGGGATAAAGGGCTTTAGACTGACAGCACATTACTAAAAAAAAGGCCTACGGCCCTGGTGGCAAGCCTATAGCATGGGCGTTATTTTTTTTTTAAGACAAAAGCTGTTAATGCATGAGTTGGTTTTTTTCTAAGCTAAAACCTCAGTATTCAGGTTTAATTGCAGTGATAAATCCGTGGGTTTCAGGTTGCAGTTTGGGCACTTGTCTCTAAAAGGTTCACCATCACTGGCCTAACAGCTGTGGGTGTAGCTCAATGGTAGTGTGGTCGCTAGCATGCTAGACACCTTGAGTTTGACCCCCGTATTGGGGATAAAAGGCCTGAACCATACACTGAAAGTCCATTCAACCAATTCATGGTGATATTTTTCTTATGAAATTTTTTTCTTGAGTTTTTAAGTCTCCTCTTTTTAATGTTTATGTTTGCAAAACACATAGTCAATGGACAAAAAGAAAAATATTCAACTAAAAATTGAAGCAACTATTATGTGACTTTAAGCTTAGCAGAAGAAAAATAAACTGGAACCTGGGCATTATCTTCTAGTTCAGGTGTCATCAAACTCTAGCCTGCTACATGTTGTTTCAAATAGTTCTGCTGGCACACAGCCATGTCCATGTGATTATCTGCTTCCATGGTTGCTTTCTCACTGTGTGGGCAGAGACGAATACTTTTATTGATTCTATATGGTCCGCAGAGCCTAAATATTTATTATCTGGCCTTTCCAGAAGTTTGCTGACCCCTGTTCTAGGTTACACTGGGAAGGAAATGTTTCAAATCACCTGAGATGGTTAGGAAAGTATGTAAGCTGATTTTCAGGTAAGATATAACTCTATCAGTTCAATGATAGCAAAAAAGAGAGAGAGAGAGAAAGAGAAAGAAAGAAAGAAAAAGAAAAAAGAAAAGTAGGCCTTGGAACATCAGTAAATTAACTTGGGATAAATAATAGTTGTGAAATGTATAGAGAATAAATTAGCAATGTATTAATTGTTTGTGAAACGTGAAATACATTAGCTATCACTGATTGCAGGCTTTAGAAATGGGTGGAATGATATGCAGCAGTGTGGAAGAAAGCATAAATATGCTGTAAGATGTTAAAATCAATAGGAAATTTGTTTCCTAAAAAAATGACTTCCTTTTGGTGGTGGTGCTGGGAATTGAACCCAGAGCCTCAGACAGGCTGGATAAGTGCTCTACCACTAAGCTACACCTCTGGCTCCAAAGACTAACTTTCTTAAGCCATTTTATTTCTCTGAATTATAATAATTCCAATCTTTGTAAGATGAAGGAATCACCCTAAATATTCACTCAGAATATTTCTAGGTCTAAAAATGCAGAGCAGTAAAAAACTTGAAAATCTAAATTGCCTTCAAGGATTTAAGTCTTTCAGGAGGTTATACCAAAATGTGTAGAATAGGCGTATCTGGCAAGGGGGATGGTGGGTCATTTTAACTATCTTCCTTTTACTCCTCTGTATTTTCCTATGGTTTTATAATAAAAAATAAAAATTACTTAAAAAATTAAAAGGCTCATTATTTTAAAAGATGATACAATTATTTAATCCCCCCAGTGGAAAAACAAATTTGTTTAAACTATCAATAAAATTTAAGAATTACTAGTGGAAATATTAATCCTACAGTTTAATGCATATATATTTTTTATCCTTTTCTTAAATTTTTTTCATTGATGGTTATTAGGGTTTATGAATATAAAAGATTAACTGTAATAGTTCCAATAAAGTACTCAGGAATGTTCCTCATGGACCATTTCATTAATATTCAAGTATGCAAAACTTATTGCTTAAAATAATTAAAATTTAAGGATGATTGAGGACATTACCCTTATTCAACAAAATTTTTATAAAGGACATCATTTTAATATTCTAGTAATTTTCCCTTAGCAATGCAAACTTTGTGTATAATAAATTGTAGACACTAGTCATAATTTCTCCTTTCGAAGTAGTATTTTATTTTATTTTATTTTATTTTATTGAAACAGGGTCTCATTGTGTAGAGCAGGCTGCCCTTGAATTCACTATGTAGCCAGGCTACATTGACTGAACTTGCAGCAATCTTCCTACCTCAGCTTCCCGAGTGCTGGGATCACAGGCGTGTGCCACTGCATCCCACGTATTATTAATTTAAATATTATTAAAAGAAAATGAATTCTTGTAAGCTGTACTATAGCTCTGTGAACCCACAAGTCCATTTACCCTGTAGGACAAATTGTATGTCTGCTGTAAATAATAACAATTGAGCTGTTTCTCTCTCCATGTCACACTCTCCACTGAGTATCACAAGAACTCAAATTTATGACAGCAGAAGTGATGGCATCTCAGTGGTGATAACTTGCAAAAGTAAATGCGTCTTAGAGAAGGGACATTATTGAAGTTTCATATAATAATATATTATTGAAATGTCACATGGTATCCTATAAATATGTACAATTATTGTCAACAAAAAATAAAACAATGATCATAGACAATTTTCATTTCAATTATGTGAAATACATTAGGGTTTCTTTTTGTTACTTAATCATGTAAAATGGATGTAGCATCTTTGCTATTAAAAATGATTCATTTTATTTATCCTTGAAAATGTATTTGTTCAGTAAATACAGAGCATACAGAGGGGAATGGCTTCAGGTAAAGCAGTCCTCCAAACTCCCAGGGCAGTAAGACTCACGGGTGGAACTTGTAATAAACTCGAGCTGTAAGGCCTCCTCCCAGCCTGCAGAAGCAGAACCTCAGAAGAGGGCGCTGGCGGGGTCTGGGTGCAGAGGCCCCAGTGATTCTCCTCAGCAGGGAAGGTTTATATAAGGTGTTTGCTGTGCTATCTGCTTCCATTATGTTGCTATTCCTCGTGTGCCGCTGTGACTAGCAGCACAGGTGTCAACTGTATGCTACGCAGAAATACAATCTCTTGACCTGATCCCCAACTTACTGAATCAAGATCTGTACTTGAACAAGATCCTACCTGATCCAGGCATGGCGGTGCGAGCCTAGTTCCTAAAGAGGAGGATGGCGGGTTCAAGTCCAGTGTGGGCAATTTAGCAAGAGACCCTGTCTCAAAATTTTAGAAAAAGAAAGAGAGACAGACAGACAGAGACAGAGAGACAGAGACAAAGAAACAGAAAGGAAAGGTAAGGAAAAAAAAAACAAATAAAGGGCTGGAAATGTAGCTCAATGTGAAGCACCTGACTTCAATCCCAAGTATCATTTTTAAAAAATTAGATGTGCTTTATGGGCATACTTGAATTTGAAAACCATGGGATACTTTAATTTCCCCTAAAAGAATATGGCTTTCTGCCTCTTGCAAAATTGCCTCCTGTGAGATCTTGGAGATAAAACCCGCAGTGAATTCTGTCCACAGCACAGGCACCAGCAGTGATGATGAATCTCTTTGGTCATTTCCATACACAGCCGGTTACCCTCCTCCAACACCTCGGCTCTTTCCTGCATGGTGAAGAATGAGCCGATGGTTTCCTCCGGGCTCTAGATCCGAGCCCCTCGGCAACCTCTCCTACCTTCACAAGTCTTGCCATCGCTTCGCAGCACACGGCCGACGCCACACTCACAGCGGTACGAGTTTTTGAGGTTCACACAGATCTCACTGCAGCCACCATTGTTTTGCTCACACTCATTTTCATCTGTAGAAGAGAAGCCACACCATTGCTACACCTTGTCCCAAGGCCTGAGCAGAATCTTCGCGACCTTTCAGAGTCCGTTGCGCGCCCCACTCCCCAGTATGTTCCAGCATCATCCCTTCCAGCAACTCCTTTTCCCCACGCAAGTCTCCTGTTCATCTGCCCTCTGCTGTGTGGAAGGCACCTAATTGCCTGCCCAATTCCCTCCCCTTTTAGCGGCAAAAGTATGAGGGAAGGAAGTGCCTTTTGTGTCCTGGATAGACCTACTTATTTGTGTTGACGACTCTTGCATTTTTCAGTGAGCTTCTGAAAAGCTGCTAAATAAATACAAAGTTATAAATTAAATTGTGTTTTAAGTCATGAAAGGAACCTACAGTGCAGAAGGAGATATCTGATAAAGTATTTTGTGAGTCTTCTGTTACAACATGAACTGCCCTTAAGGTCTATTTTAAAGATAGGAACAGGGGCTGGGGATTTAGCTCAGCGGCAAAAAGCGCCTGCCTGGCAAGCGCAAGGTTGTGAGTTCGGTTCCCGGTACCGGAGAAAAGCCAAAAAATAAATAAATAAATAAATAAAAAATAAAGATAGGAACAGTCTCACATTATATATAAGCAGTAATTGCTAAACTTTTAAGGACTGTGATGAAAGATATGGACTCTTGCCATAAAAAAATGCACACTTAGCAATAAATGTCTACTCACTTCCCTCTACAGACAAAGAAGGGAAGGTTGGCATCTAAACTCATCATGGCTCCAGGAATGACAGACCTGGATACAGGACATAAGCTACGGATGGATTTTAAATACCAATAGGTGGAAGCAGACATGGCCTTGGGCCAAGAAAAGGAGATGAGCTGGACCTGAAGCCCTGCTTGAGTCCATGACACCCTCAGAGGAATCCCCTTGCTATGATTTGGATATGGCTTAAAGGTGCCCCCAAAGTTTTGTGTGTTAGAAGCTGGTCTCTGGTATGGTGATGTCAAGATGTGGTGGGACCTTAAGAGGTGGAGTCTAGTGGGAAGTTGCTGTGTCATCAGTGGCACTGCCCTTGGAATGCAATTCTTGTAGGGCCCCTCAAGGTCTCCTCCAAGTAGGTCTCTGACTTTCTGTCTTGCTGTGGTGTCTTTTGCTCACTCGTGCTCCTGTCATGGGACCATCCATCATGAGGCCTTCCCTAAGTAGGGTGGGTGCCAACACCATGCCCTTGAATCTCTAGATCTATAAGCTAAATGTTTTAAGCTACTTTTCTTTACAGGCTACCCAGCTTCTGGTATTTCATTATAGTAACAGAAGATGGACTAATATACCTCTTAATAAGCTTGAGAGTACCAAAATTTTGCCAGGTATACCAGGAAAGCAATAAGGAAGCTTTCTTCCTGAGGCTAGAGGAGAGAGAAAAGCCTTTACAAAATAAGAAAAGAACCCAAGCTAGGGCCATGTCATGGTATTTTTTTTTTTCCTTCCAGTACCAGAAATTGAACTTACGACCTTGTGCTTGGCGGGCAGGCGCTGTACCACTGAGCTAAATCCCCAGCCCCTGTGCCATGTGAAGTATGTATTTATATGTCCCACATGGTGAGGGAATCTTTGAAGCTGTTATAAAATCTGACCTCAACTAGTACACCTTAGTGATACCTGACAAAAGTAATTGAAAAACTGCTCTGCAGTAAAACTTCCTCAAGCCAGATAAGAGCAGAGAACCAGAGAAAAACAATTACGACAAAAGATGGGTTGTAGAAAATATTACAAACAATCTGTCATGAGAGAGGATAGGAAGATAACAGGAGTCTTTGAATCAGAGATGATAGATTAATTCAGAAGTTTATAATACAAGTGTATAAAAGTTAGATGAAAGATAAAAGAAAGAATGAATGCCAGAATAAGAATGTAACAGGAGAAGATGAAACAGAAAGCAGATAAAACATAGAGATTGCTGAGGTGAAAAATACGGTTAAGACTCCAATCTTAATTGGACACATTCTTCCCTTCCTCAGTAGTGTGCCTACAAAGTGATGGCTGGGGCTGCAACCTTCCTGGATGTGGATGTGGCTGCCCCTTTACCTGAGTTTCTTGAAGTCCTCCATTCCAACCCTGAACTTATTCTAATGTGATGGAGAAATAAACTTCTACTTATTTAGGACATTATTATTTGGGATTGATTCTTTTTTATAGTCAGTTTAGATACTCTACACACCAGAAATTCCATTCCTATGGCTATACAATAGAGAAAATCTTATATATGAGATAAAGTATTATTTCTATGTTAACTTTAAGAATACACAGAGCAATGCTGTACAGTGCTGTTATAGGTACAGACATAATGATTACCCTTGGAGGATGAGAGAGGAAAATGAGATGCAAAGGGATGACTTGACCTGCAAAATTTATTTAAATGAAAAAAAAAAGGAAAATTTAATTGTAGTTAAATCTGGGTACATTTGTGTGTATTATATTATTTTTATACTATTCTCTTTGCTTGAAAAAGTATGTAATTTAAAACAAATATTTGAAATTATTACATTTAAGTGAAAACTAAGGCAGAGAAAAGAACAAAATAATGATAACATTGGCTCCCAGAGAGGGGGAACCAATCTTCTCTAACATAAGAGAAGTGGGTGTCAGGTCAATTACACTGCACCCTCAAATTAATGGAAATAGTCAGATATGAGATAGAGGCAAAGGCCTATAGCTAACCATGCCCAGAGTACATGACTAGAAAGCACACACTCACCAAAGATATTCCATACTAACAACAAAGTCTTTCAACTATAATTGACCTTCAACCCTCCCATACACCAAAAAAAGAAACATGTGAAAACAAGGCAACAAAATGCCCCCCGAAACTCCCAATTTCCCTAAAGGTAATCCACTGATGGAAAGGAAATAAAAAGCTAAACAGATGACTTATACAAAGTGATAAAAGAGGGGACCAAGAAAAAAAATCAGATCAATAAGGTACTCATTAAGCTCAAAGATAACATAACTAAACAGATAATGGACTTAATAAACAAAATGATCCCTGAGCTTACAGACGACACTAATGATACACTAGCTGAACTAAACAAAACAATACAAATCGTGAATGACCAGTTTAGTAAAAAATTAAACTCCATGAAAATATACCAAACAGAAATCCAAGGGATAAAATATTCTACTGAATATTTTAAGGGAGCAGAAGGGCAGTAGAAGTGACCAGATGTGAGGCAAGAGTGTCAGAACTAGGAAATAGTGCTGATGCAGGTAATCACGCAATCAGACATACCTCATAAGCAATAAGAGATCATGGAAAGTGGACCTAACACCTGCTAGATGTTGCGAAGAAGATTAAGATTATGGAATTAGTGAACAATTGGAAGACAACATAAATGGCCAAAAAAACTGCTTACAGAAATAATAAAAGAAAACTTTCCAAGTACAGGGAAAGAATTTAGCTTACAGATAAGCAAGGCATACAGAACTCAAAATAGCCATAATTGGGAAAGAACATCTCCACATCACATCATAGTCAAAATCACAGAAGTCCAACACAAAAATAGAATCTTAAAAGATGTTAGCGAAAAACAACAAATTACTTATAACATTAAAGCCATTAGAATTATAGCAGACTTCTTTTTTTTTTTTTGGTTTTTCTCCGGTACCAGGAACCGAACTCATGACCTTGCGCTTGCCAGGCAGGCGCTTTTGCCACTGAGCTAAATCCCCAGCCCCTAGAGCAGACTTGTTGACACAAACCTTAAAGGCCAGGAGAGCTTGGAGTGAAGTGCTTTGAGCCCTAAAAGAAAACAACTTTCAAACCAGATCAATATATCCTACAAAACTATCTCTCATAATTGATGAAGAAGTCGGGCATGGTGCACACCTGTAATCCCAGCACTTGAGAGAGGGAAGCAGGAGGATCACTGTGAGTTTGATACCAGCCTGCACTGTATAGTAAGTTCAAGGCCAGCCTGAATTACATAGTGAGACCCTGTCCCCCCAACCCCAAAAAATGGATGGAGAAATAAAGTCTTTCTGTGACAAAAAAACACCTTAAGAAATTCATGACAACAAAACCAGCTCTCAAAAAAATTCTCAAGAATATTCTACAAAGAGACAATGAAGCCAACAATGCCAACAAGTCTAGTGGAATGAATACATCAGATAGGGGGATCAGTTAAGAAGAAGGGGGAACAAAAAGGTATGAGGAGCAGGAAAACAGTATAATGGCCAGAACAAGTTAATATCTCTCACTAACAACTCGCAATGTGAATAGTCTCAATTCCTCAGTCCAGTGATACAGATTGATTTTTTTTTTTTTTTTTTTTTTTGGTACTGGGAATTGAACTCAGGACCTTGCGCTTGCCAGGTAGACACTTGTGCTGCTGAGCTATATCCCCGGCCCCAAGAGATACAGATTGGGAGACTGGATTTTTTTTTGTGGTGCTAGGAATTGAACCCAGGGCCTTGTGCATGCAAAGCAAGAACCCTACCACTGAGTCACATCCCCAGCTGGATCAAGAAACAAAATCCAGTGGTATGCTATATACATGAAACACATTTAATAAAAAAAATTCACAGACTAAAATCAAAAGATGTAAAATAACATTCCAAATAAAGGAGCCCTGAAGATGAGGAGTAGCTATCCTATTTTCAGACAAAGTGGACTTCAAGCTAAACCTGATCAGAAGAGGCCAAGAAGGCCACTAAATAGTGAATTGTTTAATTCAGTATGAAGAGGTACCAACTGTAAATATATATGCACCAAACACCAATGTACCCAATTTCATAAAACACTACTAGACATAAAAAAGCATACAAACACCAACACAGTTATAGTGGGGGACCTTAATACAATACTAACACAAATAGATCAACTAGATAAAATTTTTTTTTAAACTCAGAGTTGAAACATACCTTTGACCAAATGAATTTAAGAGATATCTACAGAGTATCCTACCCAATAACAATGAATACACATTTTTCTCAACAGCACATGGAAATTTCTCAAAAAATAGATCACATACCAGCCCATAAAGCATGTTTATATAGAAGACACACAAAAAATTCACCAAGACTCCTAGAACTAATAAATTCAGCAAGGTAGCAGGTAACAAAAGCAACACACAAAAATCAATAGCGTTGATGTACACCAATAATGAACACACTGAGAAAAAATTAGGAAAGAAGATCATTTATAATAATTTCAAGAAAAATTAAATACTTAGGAATTAATCTAAAAGGAAATGAAAGACCTCTACAACAAAAGCTATAGTACTCTGAAAAAAATGAGATTGAAAAGGACATCAGAAAATAGATATCTCCTGTTCCCGGACAGGCAGAACAAATATTGCCAAAATGGCCATATTTCTAAAACTCATATATAGATTTAATGCAATCTCAATCAAAATACTAACAGAATCCCTCACTGAACTAGAAAAAACAATCCTAAAATTCATATGGAATCAGAAGAGACCCAGGATAGCAAAAGCAATTTTGGGTAACAAGCAAAGCAGGAAGTATCACTATCCCAGATTTCATGCAAACATGTACTAATAAAAATTAAAGATTAATAAAATAATTCAGGATGCAAAAAATAAATAAAAACTAAAATTGACACACGTATAAAACCACAAAAGTCTGCTTGTAATTTCAGATGATTCACAATCTCTGTGAAGCACAAGCACCCCAGATAGGAACTTGAGGCTTTGATAGGCAAAGGCAACTAAGATAAATGAAGGAAAAGATGTGTATGATGTGCTACTTTTGATGTAAAAGGAGAAGGTTAGTAAACAAGCACACATTTGTGTTGTAATGTCCGCCTGAAGAAACCCTGGAAGCACTAATAAGAAACATACAAGGTGTTGGAACATGGTTTGAAATGAAGTTTTAGCACATCTGAATTAGGATGGCAAATTGTCATCAGAAATATTTGACCTACATTTACACTACTAAACACAGATAAAATTTAGTTACTCAGATTGCCCCAGACACCTTTGATTTTGTAATAGTTCCGTCAAGGATCACTTTTGAAATTAAAATTCAGCTCTTTGGTCATATTAGCTCCATCTCAAGCACTGCACAGCCACATAGCTCATACGGGAGGCAGCAGAGTTCCAGATGGCCCCTCGACACATCAGAAATTTGGCTTGAGCTTTGGCCGTGAACTAAAAAGTTAAACACCTTGCAAGCATTCAGAGACACAAAACGGGACAGTGACGAGCTCTAGGCAGGAAGAGATTTTGATCTGTCCCTTTGGTCCTATAGCCTGTTTCTACCTCCTGATGACTCCTTACCAAAGCACGTCTGCCCATCAGGGCCGAGCACGGTTCCTGGAGAGCACGTGCACTGGCTGGCGTCCAAGCAGCTGCCATGGCAGTCCTCATCACAGATGTCATAAAAATCTATGGAGAGATAAAGATATACCTTTATCTTGAGATATGAGGGCCAGAGGACTCTCACTCTTGGGGTCTTGTGAGTGCGGTCATGGGTGTGAGTTCCCAGCCACCATCAAGAAAATTTTGGGGGTTTACATCAGCCAACAGAAACAGATACACTGCCTGAGGGCATGTTTGGTCATTTAGATCAGTGGTTCCCACCTTCACTTCCCGGCCTGTGGGTGGCCACAGGGTTTCTGCAAATGTAAGAATGTCACTGCACACGAGCTGTAGAGGAATGTGATAATTACGTACTGCAGTCATATGCTGATAAAAGAAACAAGGGCATAGACTAAGTAAGAGTACTCTGCTATGTCCTCTTAAAGTATCTATGGGGCGGGGATGCAACTCAGTGGTAGAACACTGGTCTAGCACTGCAAGGCTCTGGGTTTAATCCTCAGCACTGGAAAAAACATCAGCATACAGATTTTGATGGACCTGATAACACAGAAATTCATTTAAAAGTACTACTGGCCTCAAGTAGCCTCTTTCTATTATATACCACTTTAACAGATTGATGGATTTTACAGTGCTATCTGCCTGCACACCCATCAATCATCAATATAAACATCTGAAAAATGAATGTTCTGTACTCAGGTTGGAAAGCCTCTATTTCCATAAACAAAATCAACATTTCATTTTCTAATGTTTTGTTTGAATGGAATAAAAAACAAAAAATTCAACTGATCTACTTGCATTTTCCTTTCACTCTCTATTTCTTCATTAAGTTTTCAGAAATTCTGAGAATAGAATTCAAAAGTCATAACCTGGAGGCATTGTTGGCCCCCAACCAAATCGATGTTGTTCAGACTCTGAGACACTACTGTCACTGTCGCTGGGTTTCACACAGTAACTCTCCCGCCGTGGAGCCGCTGGGAGGAAGGTACTCACGGCCGCAGTAGACGTGGAAGCAGACGCTGGGCTTGGCCAGACGATACACGTAGTAGCCTCCCGGGCAAGCCTTGACCTCCACCGTAGTGTTCCACAGGCAGCAGTTCCCCTTGAAGCTGGCGCAGGCCTGGCGTTCCACAATGCCATCGCCTTCTAGGGGTTGGCTGCCGTTGAGCCAGACGGGCGCATGGGTGCCACAGTGGTTTTCTGGTATGCAGAAGGTGGGCATGGCGTCCCCCGCCATGCCTGTGAAGCGGTACCATTCCCCATCCACCTGGTTGTCACACAGAGGCGTACCTTGGGACTCGTCATACTGGTGGTCAGTGTTCCTCCAGGGCTCATTCAGGCTGATGTAAGCAGAGCAAGGATCTAGGGCTGGGGACGGAGAGGGTACCTCAGAGGCACCTAGTGACCCTTCGGGCCACAGCGCCAGCTGCCCAAGTCCACGTTCTTATATTTTAGCTTTTATGAACTCTACAAATTATCTAAAGCCTCCAAAAGTAGTTGTTTAAGATTCCTTCATGTGATTTAAACATTTTTCACAAACCCCCTTCACAGCATTACTTAAAGCCCACTTAAGGGTTTGTGTAGCGTTAGATGAGGTGTTTTATCCAGAGTCATCACTGGACAGAAGGATAGTTGTCCAGATGAGGGAGGTTAGGACTCTACAGGGCAGATCATATTCGGAGTTTTGTGTCCACACACACTCGGAGGCTGTCCTTAATGGAAGTCACTGACTAACTTGCCCAATCTTAGGAGGGGGCTAAATCTAAATACTAGGGACTGGAGAAGAAGCTAAGAACTTAGGGAAAAAAGATGCCTGAAGAAAACATATTAGTTTTGAAAACTCTGGAACAGACTTATGGAAGAGAAATTAAGTATTCGGTTACAAGAGTAATAACAAATCACTACACGGGCTGTTCAACTATGCGGCATGAGACGCCGTATCAAGCACAGCTAGCTCTCCATCTGTGGAAGTTAAAAGAAAAAGGGTTCGAATGGCTATTTGTGAAGATTATAAACAGAATTCTGCCGCAGTGGGAAGTTTAACTTGATAGGAAGTGTAAAGGTCCTTCCACCGTAAAGGAGAAGTCCTGGCCCTGCCAGCTAATCCGAAACACACAGTACACTGCCGAGCAATCACCAGAGGAAATATAATAGCGTGTGACAAGACATAAGTGGGACATTGCATTTTCTGGAAATAACAGATTTGCAGGGTTTCAGATGGCACGCACAACCTTGTCTTTAAAATATCCCCGGAGGTGTGTCAACTGAACCTGTGATCACAGTCTGATGTCCCTAGAGGAGAAGAAATATTCTCGGCCTCTCTCTGCTCTCAGTAGGGAAAATTCTCTCCACTGCTCTCTGGCTGTGGCTCTGTTGCCGAGCAAATTTCCTCAGCACTGGAGGAATTTCACAGGCAATTATAAATTCATAGAAATATTTTGCTCATCTGCTGGCTCTAATTTTGTAAGAAGTGGTTAGCTACTCAACCTTTAATGGCTTCTGCAGAAACTCCCGTAATGACTATTCCATGATTTATGGTTTTTCCTTAAAGTTAACGGCACTTATTGTGCTGGTAAAAGTTCATTTCCTGTCTTCCAGGGGACCTGCGGCCCTGGAAGGAGAAATTGACCCGCTCTCTGCTGTGCAATAACAATGTGCATTTATTTGGATGCTAACCACTCCACCTTTCCTAACACTAACTGTTCTCATCCCACTCCAACCCCCTTTAGGACAGTAACTCAGTCCTTTAATAATCTGGCCAGCGGTGTTAAATTCTGCTTTCAGGCTCAGTGTGGAGCCCAGACTTTGGTTTTATGCACAGGGTTGCACCTAGCGCTCCGGGTCTGCCGGAGGCTCCCCTCCACTCTCTAGGACGCCGGACCTCAGACCCCGACTCCTGCAGCCGCGCCCAGCAACAGGTCAGGGAGCACAGGCCGGCGCTCCCGTCCTGTCGCCCGGACTGGTTTTCCCTCAGCCGCTGAGACCTGCGGGGAAGCCGCACCCCTGCTCAGCGCGGACGCCCTTCCTCCTCTCTCCCCTCGCCCGTGGGGTCCGGCGTTTTCACCTCCTCTCCTTTCCCGCACCTCCTCTTCTTTGCTCACTTCCGTGGTCTCCCAGGACAAGCGTTCACCCAGGCCCCAAAGTTTTCCCCACATCGAGCCAAACATCCTAGATGCTGCAGGTGGGGCAGGGCGGGCTGCGAAGGGCAGAGGTTGGGGCACCAATAGGAAGATACTGGCCGGAGGTGCTTGAGGGGACAGAAAGATTCTGAGCGACCCTTGTTTAACCATGGGCGGCAGATTGAGATAATTAAAGATGGTGGCTCAGTCCTTCTGGGGGGACAGTTGTGGACTTACAGAAAAACTGAGAACATAGTACCAAAGGGCTCCCATGTACTGTGCCCCCAGCTCTCCGCGTTTTCCTTTAGCACACACTGCATACATTAGCATGGCACCTTTGCTACAGTCAGTGCACTCAAGACCATAGTTTTATTCACGTTTCCCTATGTTTTACCTACATCGCTCCCTGTCCCAGGATCCCACCCAGGATACTACATTACATTTAACTTCGTCTCTGTAGAGCCTCAAGCCTACTTTGTTAAAGTGCCGGAGTTCCTGCAAAGAAATAAATCAGGGTCAACCGAATAAACAGCTGCACAAAAATGCCAGGAGAGACGATGGCTTCTCCATCCGGCCTCCCACCCTCTCCCAGAGAGAACTTAGGTTCTATTGAGAGAGAACTCCATTAGTAAGTGAAATTGACACTTCCTTTGCCTCGCTGGCCAGTTTTGTGCCAACCCAGAGAACGGAGAGAGTTTAGGAGTTGCTTGGCCTGAGCAGAGTCATACATATTTTTAAAGGTCAAGGGTAAAGTCTGTCTTATCCAGATCTATGCCCTTCATGAGGACAGAGCTTTCAGATCCTTGAATTTATTTAAAGAAAAAGCTCTATCCTCAGCTCTAAAATCTAAGCTCATCTTTTATTTTTAAATTGGAACTATAAAGTGCCTAGAATATAAAGAGGTTGGAGCTCCTGTTACTTGTACACCAAGGAACACTTAGCTTGTGGAAGGACCTTGGACGTGGTAGATCCATGGAAGCTTTGGGTGCCAGGTCAGAGGCTGCATGGAACATGTAACAGAAATTCCCTGGAAATACATTTTCATAGATAATGAGATTTTTCTTACACAGTTCTGGAACTGCCATTGAAGACACTGAAATCTAGATCTTAATAACCTGTACACAGTAGCAGATCACAACAACAAAACCTTTTTGTGCCAAGTTCTTGACACGAGACTCACCCATGGGCAACACGGGGGTGACTAGAACGAGGAGGCTGGTGAGCAGCAGGCACCGAGGCATCTTTCTGGACCAACCACCGTGAACAGCCTGGAAAATCCTCTTCATATCTGTTTTCCTTCTTCAAGAACTTTCTTTTTAAACTTCTAAACTCTTATGGAAAAGGACCTTATCAGCGCTCGCTGGAGTCTTATCGGAGGAAGAGGATGAGGGGATAAGGTGTCCGCTGCTCTGGCCTTGACCCCAGATAGAAGCACTGCTTTACACTGTCAGCAGAGTTATTTTATTGATGTTTTTCCTTGGGGGGGGGTGACTCTCACAATCTTTCATCCTCCTATTGTTTTCTCTGAAGAATTCCTCGCAATGACTCTCCAGTGTCTTATCCGAAGGGAACTCTAAATGAGGGGCATCCCCTCATATCAAAATGTGTTTCGTGACGTCTAGGAATCGATTCCACGATGTTGTAGTCATAGCGCTGCCCAGCGGCATGACTGCACATTAAATAAGAAGGGAATAAAGCCACGTCACTGGAACTGGTCATTAGGAAATGTCCTGCTCAGAAGGCTCAGGAGCTAATAATAGCGCACAAAAAAGTAGGGACAGGTCTGGGATGGGTACAATAGTCTCTTGAAGAGAACTCCTAAGTCTATTTTGTTGTGGTCTCTGTTCTCAAAACTTCCTAAAAAAAACAAAGCTAAACTTGTGATTTTACCAATTCTAGCAGTAATACCTAGTATTTTCATAGTGCCTTTTGTCTCAAAACTTTCAAAATATGTATTTATTTCATTAATTCTCACACCAAAAAAGTGGTAGGAGCTTCAATTTAGGAACAATTCATTAACAACACTTTGGAGAGGTGAATGTACTGGAGGTCAGCAGACACGGCCATGGTAATTTCAGGCGTGGAGCTTGCCAGCTCTCTGATATCATTTGCAAGCATTAATACTAAAGGTAATGTAAAAGGGAAGGATAAAGAATAGAGTAGAGGGGCTGGGGATTTAGCTCAGCGGCAAAAGCGCCTGCCTGGCAAGCGCAAGGTCGTGAGTTCGGTT